AACACCATCACCAAAACGATTGTCATCACCACTATCAACACCATCACCACCACGATCATTCTCATCACCACTATCAACACCATCACCACCACGATTATTGTCATCACCACTATCAACACAACCACCACCACGATTATTGTCATCACCACTATCAACACCATCACCACCACGATTATTGTCATCACCACTATCAACACCATCACCACCACGATTATTGACATCACCACTATCAACATCATGAGTAATAATTTTCATCGTCATGGTATAGAGTTGTTTTCAAAAACCCGTGAAATATACTTTACCTTATTTAGTACTATTACACTTTAATTCTTTTGTTTTCTATTGTGTTTATCCGATTAGTACACTTTGTTTCATGGGTTTATAAAAACCACTTCTTACTGAGGCTCGCAACAAATATCCCATTGATTATGCACGAGGTTCTCGACCAATGCTCTTTTTATTACATTCTCTAGACATTTACTAATTATTGGTAATAAACGCATGCTATCCAGTAATGAGTTGTGGAGGAATGTCATCGAGGAATGTAGAGGTGAGCAAATCCCTATCGTAACCCAATAAATTGCCTTTTCTTTTCAATGTTCGTTCCTGATGGAAAGTTGCGTTTTTAATTTGAGTTTGTAATGTTTCTGATACAGCTCAACCTGATGGTGTGGTTTTAGACGAGCATTTCAAGAGTTCTTGGCAAAAAGGTAAGGTAAATTACTTCGTCAGTGGCTCTGGAAAATTAACAGCCATTCCGAGGTTGAGGAGGAAAATATGTTTTAGATGACGAAATCGACACCATCCTGTAAATATGTCCTCTAATGGTAACTCCACCCAGTTTTTTCCACAACCTCTGACACAGCTAATATRATTTCTCTTCACGAAATTATATGATTGGACTCGATAAACAGTGTTAAGCAATMGAGACTTCAGGTCAGGTGGATGCACCTTGATGATGGAAGTACCAGATCAACATTGTTTGTTACGTTTCAATCCTGTCTCCAAGTTGACAATTTTTATGAATTACAATTTTAGATGATATCGACGTCCCTTCACAGGTTACCACTGACCACCAATATCCTGTGAATGATATGAAAGATGTTCCAAAATTCCAGCATGGTAATGTTTTGCCCCCATCTCCATCAATTGATAACGAAATCCAAGACAGTTGTTCGCAGACAAGTTTTGATTTCTTGCTCGAATCTCCATCGGCTGATGATGATGTTGATGTGGTATTACCCAAGCTTTCATCGACTGAAAACAGCAATGACGTGAATGACAAAATACCGGAGCAGCTATCTACTGGTATTACGAATGGCATGCAAAGTCTTTCACAGGATACCAGCGTTCCTGTCTCTGTGGATGGATCTCCACAGAAAGGATGTTAGTAGCCCATCAAGAGTGTTTTTCTCACCCAGCATGTCTTCGTCTGTCAATTCAAATAAAAATGACTTGGCTGTMAAGTCTGTGACATGTGACAGCAGCGGCAGCGAAGAGTTTGACCGCCAACTGATTTCTTGTGTCGAAAGTGACAATATCGAACAGACGAATTGTATTACCTGGTCTCCCGAAACTATTCATGAATATATAGACGAGGATTTACCATGCTTTGATGTGTCTAATATATAGTTGCACACGAACGAATAACAATCGTRTTCGGATTTACAGCGAATCGTTGTTGACTTTGTAAATTCATTTTCAGTTGGCCCATAAATATTTTTGTATCTCTCAGATCTTGTCTCTGTTATTGTTGGGACGAATATGACGGTGATTATTAAATAGTGTAGTATGTAAGCATTTCTTACCGAATAAAAGTAGGTATTTTTAGTCTGGTTACTATTATACTGGCACTATTATACTAGTGGAGCGGAATGGTTGGGAAACGTATACTAGGTTTTAAAGATGAGAATATGTGGACCGCGTAGCACTTATGAAATACATGAAGATATAGAAATATAAATAAGTTATAGTGCTTGGAACTAACATCTATTTCATCCCGGCCTGCTCTCAGTCTGACCTCTAGCTCAGCTGGTAGAGCATCGGTAGTACAATTCCGAAGGTCRTGGGTTCGATTCCCAGCGAGGTTTAATTCCAGGGGCTTTCGCCCGGAATAACCTCGTTCCCAAGCACTATAACTTATCTATATTTCTATATCTTCATGTATTCTAGGTTTTGTTCGACTTTATCTATTGTTTATACACCTATTTCGAAAATCGTTGTCGCACCAAGAGCCTCAAGTAACAAGCCAAGGTTCCAGAGAACGTCGGTACTTTTAATTATAATTGATTTATTCATGGTTCATGCAAGTGGCTATAGCTCTCCATCTGAAGCAGCCTTGCTTGGAGCAATTTGTTAAGTCAATAAATGAAAATGCACCATAAATAAACTAATTACAGCTAAAAGTACCGGCGTTCTCTGCGGTCTTGGCTTGTTGCTTGAGGCTTTCGGTGCGACAACGATTTCTGAAATAGGTGTGTATATGACGTTGACCGTGCACAGAGAAGGAAAAATGATTCTGTAATTTGTTCACAGTATTAGGGAATATGGAATTTTTCCGTAAAAAATCGTTCTACAATAGTCATTATTTGTTAATTCATCCTATATGATATTGTTTATCGAAAAGGAAAGTACCTCGACCGCATAGTTGTTGATACTTGAAAATAATAAGGAAATCAGTATTTTCAGCCATACTTGCTTTCCTTCATTGTGCACGGTCAGTATCGCGTGATGGTACGGTTCAACCTCAAATGTAAAACAATACCTTTATTCTATGGAGTTTCCACTCCACTCCACTCCATTAACTATGGCTAAAAGAAGGCTCCTAATTTGCTCATCCATTCCCAGGCTTCGTTCTGCCGGTTGTGGATTACCCCTGGTATGCTCTTTTAGCAAAAAAACTGCTAAGGAATGTAGAGAACAATTTGTATGTTTTGAGATATGACGTGAATGTTTGTGGGTCTGACAATGACRTTTTTTTCCTTGCATTTTCACACTACAGTGGATTCCGTAGTATAAACAAAAATGGTAAAATAAGAATTTTATAGAATGTGAAAGAATTTCAGGGCTTTACCTAGGCCTAGGAGTAAAAAACTGGCTTTAGTTAAATTTGAGAAAAAAAGAAAACTAGAAGGGATAGGAAATTCAGGAAATTGGAATTACAGTTTTTGCTGGTAATTTGAGCCTGCAGATAAGTTAATTTCACAAATGTTTTTGTGGGAATATGTTTTCTTTATAGGCTTACCATTGAAAACATCTTCATTCACAAACTATTTTCAGCACACTGCAATGACAGAAAGCAGAAAAGAGATCATGATACCTCGCTATTCATGGGCATGTACAACAGTGATAACTGTGGGGTGGTGTACTCTATAGACTTGTATAAGACATCATTCAGACTTCCATTGAAGTAGATTATCAATTGGGAAGACTAGAATTTGGATCATTTCTAGGTGACCTAACTTGATGAGTTCAATGATGTTTGGCTAGCATGATACACAAGGTTCTATCATAGGATTGTAATTTAATACGTTTTTTCACCAGTAAAATAAGAACTCAGTTTCATATTAAATTTTAACAGTAAAAATGTTTCATGAAAACCTACGACAAAAAAAACTAATGGAAAACTTTTAATACCAAGAGTTCAGCACAGAAAGGTGTAGCCAAGAATATCTGAAGGGGACAAAAATTCAAAAGTCTGCCATTTTGTAGCAGAACAACAAACGTCAATATTTTGGCACTTAATTCATGTTTTTGCCATATGAAATGAGATATAATGTCATTTTGATAAAGCATGAATATAATAATCCCTGTTCCCTTGAGATTGAATAAATATCAATTATAGTAGACCTAGTCCCTCAGCAGACTCTGTATACATTTTAAGAGAGAATTCTTTTCGTATTCAAGCAGTGAGCGCCATTTTTGTGCTTTTCTAGGCTTTTCTAAAAGACAAAAATCTTGTTATTCAGAAAGTTTAACTTGTTTGGAAGTGGAGATGACTGATGAATAAAAGTGTTAACCCAAAGCAAAAATGTTATTCGAAAATGAGGTTTAGGCCTTCCTCTTCTTATTTCCCATATATTTTCTATAAAAAAAGCCAGTGACAAAGCTACATTCTAACACAAATTCAACAAAGCATCYTTGTACGATTGAAAATACCGCTTCAAACAGGCATTTTATCATAGTACATCAGTTTCTAACTGTTTAAAAAAGGGGGAACAAAACTCATACGAAAGTCTAGTTTTTGGCGCTTTTTGCCATTATTGCTCATTATTGAAAAAATTTCCTCATAATATCAAAATACTTAATTGAATAAATTACAAACACAATACCTTAGCAGACTCTGAATATATTAATACTTAATTGAAACATAGATCCCCAGTAACTTAGCAGACTCCAAATACGTAAATTGAATAAATCAGACCCAGTCCCTCAGCAGACTCTAAATACATTAATACTTAATTGAATACATTATAGATGCAGTCCCTTAGCAGACTCTGAATATATTAATACTTAATTGAATATATTATAGACCCAGTCCCTTAACAGATTCTAAATGCATTAATACTTAATTGAATGCATTATAGACCCAGTCCCCTAGCCGACTCTGAATATATTAATACTTAATTGAATACATTATAGACCCAGTCCCTTAGCAGACTCTGAATGCATTAACACTTAATTGAATACATTATAGACCTTAGTATTGTAGTCCTCTAGTTTAAGGGTCCAGGCTAGCTTTTTATATTCAATTACATCACTATCAGGAAAACCTATGGGTAAAGGGCGTGGTTATTTTGTAATTCTCCTACTTGCACTAATGCTCACAGTAGAGTGCAAATAATATACCCGTGAAATAGATAGCTAGCTAACTAATTACTAACTTTGTGCTATTGGTTGCCTAAGCTAATTAGTCAAAGAAATAGGCGAGGCGTGACGGGTAAACTAGTGCACGTGTGCTACTCAAGGGCGCGCATTTTWAAATATTTTWAAACACGCTTGCAAAAACTGAAACAATATTTTATCGTACATGCTTTTCCTTCGTATAATTTGACATGTTCGCATTTTCGAATTCGTATCTGTTAAACAACAAGTGGAGCTTGATTCATGTTTTATGACTTATTATTCAGCTGATGACTGTATAATCTTCAAATTGTCTAGTATTTAAGTCATTGCTTTTAAGTCATTAGTAGGGCTAATACGGCTCAAGCGAAATGGTTTTTGGACTGGCCATTAGTCCTTTGAATTCATTGACGGTAGCGTGATATCTTCGAGAGCCTAACTGGAATAACGTAGCCATTGCGTTTCTCAAAAGTAAATTTTTATGTCTTGCTTGGTTGGTTGGTTGGTTGAGTTTTGGAATTAAAAATACAAAATCCCCACGCTCTATAAATTGGATTGGTAAACAAAAGACTTACCCAAACTTGCCTAACAATACTCTCCCCGTCATTTTATGGTAACGATTTAATAAACAATAGTCTGCTCGTCATTTTATGGTAACGATTTAATAAACAATAGTCTGCTCGTCATTTTATGGTAACGATTTGATAAACAATGGATGTGCCCATCACTGGCCCACCATTCCTGAAACAAAGACTTGTTCATACCGGTCAACAATAATCTTATGACGTCAATTGGTCTCCATGGTAACCCGAAACAATACCTACCCGTCGCTTTATGCTAATATTTGATGAATAGTTAATGTGCCCACCACTAGCCCACCCAAAAAAGGGCTCGTGCCATGCGGCCTATACTACTCTCAGCTGACTACTTTTGAATATTTAATAAATGAATTATTGTTCAGCAAACGTGCCAGGTCAGTATCAAAACATATATCTTTTGTATTGGTACTTTCTATATCAACCCTCAACCATACTAAGTTTGCTGTTTATTACGAATTTTAGGTCCCTCCAAGAAAAGTCGGGTCGGGATTGGAGAAAGAAAAAAGTGTTGTTCTCAAATGTTACAACACTCTTAACAGAATGGAAAGAGGTTGTCTTGACAGCACAACAGAAGATTGGAGAGATAGCAGCAAGCATGCATGCCACAACACGTAGTTAACCTGTATTTAACCCAAACAGAAGAGTCCCTGACCAGACGCATACAAAACATAGTAAAAATTGCTATGCAGCAGCCTTATGCCCCCGAGTCAGGAGAGATTGGAATGGAGAAACAACTTCAAGTTTCAAATCAAACAAGATATTCAAGAAAAATGCAACCAGATGARAGAAGGGCTGAAGCCCTCAAGGTAAAGCTGGATCAGAATTTTGCKGATTCATCTCCTAGCGAAGACGAGAGTATCGAACCTTTTGCTGAGAAGAAGAGGAAGGTAGACACAGCGAAAGAGGCTAACCTCTAAAAGCTATGAGCACGATGGAGAATGTTAATCAGCTTTTGCTGAAAGTAGACAAATACATCAGTGATCAGAACAGAACAAAACCCTAAAGAGAGAGACTTTTCAAGTAAAAACTGTAGAAATTCATCTAAGAAATGTAGAATGATTTATTTGAATGAATTGAAACTTTCATGTTTTGTTAATAAAATAATGGATATAAAATGCTTAAATTTCCCTATAACGTCAAACAGTTGTGCGGTGTTTCCAATTCGTGTCTTTTTTAATTATTGTTTTTGTATTTGAATATTAGCAGATCTAATTAGCTTGCTAAAGTGTGAAGTATGAATTCGCTCTAATAACTCATTTCTATGCTTCACATGTCTGCAATTTAAAAAAGTATTCTATGACCGGTATTCCACAGGTAACCTGGCAATAAATATTTGTCTAATATAATTCTGTATAGTGATGAAGTGTTTGATTCATAATATACTTTTAGTAAATCCTTATTGGTATTTGTCCTATCAGAAGTAGCGTCCAGAATATATACATGCGACACAAGTACCAAAAATCATTGGAGTTGGTCCCTCCTCTCTCCCTTTATTCAGCTCCAGCAAAAGATGTAACCTTTGCCTTAAAGAAAAGTTTCTAATAATCTATCGACTGGAACTCTCATCATTAAATAAACGAAACAAACTTGTATCTTCATGCCGCCACAGAAACAAAGCTATTGTGTTTCCTTCATGAATTATTAATGAGTTTTTTAAATACTGAATAAATTAGATATTTGTATAAATGTATACTACAACGTTTCTGCGATCGAGTATTTATTCAGTATATTTAATGATATGAAAAACAGAAAAATTGCTTTATCTATTGTTTGTTTCATTCAATAACTGTCAAAATATTTTTTCTTGTCCATTAGATCGTACAGATTATATATCAGTTGGTTTTAAGCATTGGAAATGGCTATTTTGTATTATGCATATCATTAGATATACTGAATAAATTAAATGTGTACTACAACGTTTCTGCGATCGAGTATATATATAATATATATATATATATT